AGAAAGTAGGATTTACTTCCTTGTTACCTGGACAGGACAGACATTTGCACTACATATGTGCTTCACATTTTACAAGGTAAGTAATACAAATAATGCTGATTGTTACATGAAACCACCTTCATTCACTCACTATTGTTTGTAGCAAATGTGGCACTTATCTATTCCTAGACCACTGACCATACTTACAGGTTATCACTCGAGTGCATGAGGAATAAACATTGTATTTAGCGAGCCTTGGCAAGCTGAATACACAGTGTGTATTCCTAATGCAGGATTTTAACCACCCCAAAACACACGAGTCTGATAACCTATTTATCATTCAATGTCATTCTTACTTTATAAATATGAATATATATAGCAAATATGGTACATATCCATCCCATAGACCACTGACCATACAGGGCGTTATGCTTTGTTGTTGTATCTGATTAATAATGTATTTCCATTTAAATACTAGTGTCTCCCCATTTGTCAGACACCTGACTTATTAGACAAGAAGGTATCCTTAAAGCAAGCTATTTATGGATGACAACTTCTGATCATTATCTGGCCACTTGACTTACCATTAGCTGCCATACGTCAGTCTACTATTGGCTGACACCTGGCTGAGCTGAGTTAAGTGTGCTGAATAGACTTATTGTGTGTGGACCATGCTATGATCATTGTCTAACAATGAAAATACCAGTCCATTCAAGCCAACAAAAGAGAAATATTTTATAATGGAACATGTTCAGTAGACTTGAGGATTGAACAATGTCACTTGGCTGCATGGTGTATGACTCATCTGAACCTATATACAGATGTCGTTGCTGCACAAGTTACTTCCCCTTGTAGCTCAATACATAAAGTAGGATTAACTAACTGTCACATGGGAGGACAGAGACATCAGTTTGTACGTTCTTCACAGTTTACAAGGTAAATAATACACATATTGCTGATTGTGACATAAAAGAACCTACATTGTCTAATTTGTCCAACTTTGACAAATAGATACTGGCTCATCCCTGAAATAAAAACATACTGTACTCTTCCTGCTATCATCATAATTGGATTCATTACAAAACAACCTTTATGATTTGACTACTAGTACCCGAGGGTTGGGGGCGGTTGAACCCATAGGATGATATTTTATGCGCTCATTTGTTTTATTGTTACCATTTTTGAATGCCAACATTTTCTTATCGTACTCCAACTATGCTCCATCAAAACTTTATATAGCTATTGTTTATAGATACCACTTTGACACCTGGTTACTATCCAAAATGGTTACCACCTTCGGTATTTTTCACAATGATTGACAAACTAAAGATTATATCTCTGAACTGTAGAGGTATAAATGATAAGTTGAAACGCAAAGATGTATAATGCAGATGAAGAAGGTAATATGATAGCAGTTGAAATGATGTTAGATAATTATAAACTTGCTATTGTTAATCTCTACGGTCCAAATAACGACAACCCCCAATTCTATGAAACACTTACACAAAATATCAAAACTGTTCATAGCGACCATGTAATCATATGTGGTGACTGGAATGTGGTACAAGATTTTGCTGTTGATGCGTATAATTATAAACACTTGAACAAACCTAACGCTAGAGAACAGATTTTGAAACTTAAAGATGAACTAGACTTTCGTGACCCTTGGCGACAAAGAAATCCGTTTGACCACGATACACATGGCAACAGCCGACCCCTTGAAACAAGCGTACCTGGACTATTTTCTTGTATCCCATAATATGTTACCATCAGTCACAGAATCAGTAATTGAACCCGGTTTCAAATCAGACCACTCGGCGATATCAATGACATTCAAACTATCAGACCTATCACGTGGAAAGGGTTTTGGAAATTTAACAATTCTTTATTAAAGGACCAATCATATGTAATGAAAATATAAAGGTCATTACGTCCCAAACAGTTCAGCAGTACAAAGTTGGGACAAACTAATATAGTATAAACGACCAGCTTTTGAAACTATTTTACTGATGATAAGAGGAGAAACCATAAAGTACTCTTCATTTCTGAAAAGGAAAGGCATGATTTAGGAGAATACCTTCTACATTCTTTAAACTATGGATACAGAAATGGAGAACTATCAGTTACTCAAAAGGAAGGACTTATTACCAGTATTCCCAGGGAAATAAGCCTAAACAATACATTCAAAAACTAGCGCCCGATATCACTACTGTCAGTATTTTATAAAGTTGCCTCTATGGCTATCTCAAAACGAATCAAGTCTGTTCTTGACACTTTGATAAGTGAAGATCAAAAGGGTTTCATGTTTGGAAGATGCATAGGTGATATTATTAGGCAAATTTGTGATTTGATTGATTACAACCGATGCATACGAGATTCCTGGACGTTTACTTCTTGTAGATTTTGAAAAGCATTTGATACAGTAGACTGGTCATTCATCGAAAAGACACTCACCTTTTTCAATTTTGGAGATTCCATCAAAAGCTGGGTACGTATATTTTATTAAAATATAACTTCAAGTGTACTCGTTAATGGTTTTGGTTCTTCAAACTTTAACATCTATAGAGGCTGTCGTCAAGAAGATCCACTTTCACCATATCTTTTCATACTTTGTGTTGAAATTTTAGTAATAATGATACGAAATAATGCAGAAATAAAAGGAATACATGTTAATAATATTGAATACTTACTCAATCAGTTTGCCGATGATACTACCTGCTCTTTAGATTGATCTGAACGCTGTCGGCATGCAGTGCTTCAGGTCTTAACATGTTTTCCCCTGTTTCTCAGGATTGAAAGTAAATATAGACAAAACTAGAATTTTATGGATTGGCTCTAAAACGCGCTCAAGAATAAAGCTCATTGTCATAATTTCAACCTAAATTGGGAACAAATTAATTTTGAATTACTCGGAATAAAAATTTGATTTAGATCTTGATGAAATGGTTGATCTTAACTGTAAAGATAAATTGAGAAACTGCGAAACCCACATGTCAATTTAGTCTACAAGAAATACCACTCCTTTGGGTAGAAATACTGTACTTCAATCGTTAATCATTCCAAAATTAAATCATCTCTTCGCTTCCATCCCAAATCCTCCGGACAAAGTAATAGATGACTTTCAACGAAAATGATTCAAGTTCATATGGAGAAACAAACCTGATAAAGTTAAACGTGATCAACTTATATGTAATATTAAAGATGGCGGCCGGAACGCACCGAATATAAAGGAGGTGATGCAGGCTCAAAAAGTGTCGGTTATAAGACGTTTCTACATGAAGTACACTAAAGGCAGCAATCTATTTGCAGAAAATGTACCTAAACTTGGATCTGCAAATATTTTTGAATATAATTGTCCAAATCTAAGAAACGTTCTCACTCCATTGGTCGCAAGATAGAAAAACATGTTTTTATACAAACTGGAAGGAAAAGGTATACTATTTATAAACGACCTTCTTAATATCGCTGGCAAATTTCTAGCCCACGAAAATTTTGAACCACATCTAATCTAAAAACTAATTTTTCTAGATTATTGCGGAGTCATTAGCGCAGTTAAAGCCTTCTTTAAAAAGCAAACAAATCAATTTAGAAAAACATCAACACAAAAATTAACCCAATACAACCATTTATCTTCAACCTTCTGACAAGACAAAAAACTTGTTGTCAAGTTTATTACAGGCTTTATTGGAAACCAAAGCAAATCGCAATCAACACTGTATGAAATGGAATATTATATTAGGAAATGAAATTGCAATTGATATAGATACTTGGCACAACTATAACCATATTCCCTTTCATTGTACAAAGACACAGATCTTCAATGGTTTCAATACAAACTGTTTCATCATATTTTGCCAACGAATTGTAGACTTTTTAGAATGAAATATATTGACCATAACCAATGTAGCTACTACTCAAATTCTATAGAAACAACACCCCACCTCTTTTATGATTGTAGCAAGGTTACCCAGATATGGTAGACACTCCAAGAGTGGCTAAATGATAAACTTGATTTAAATTTAAATTTCACAAGGCAACAAATTCTTTTTTGATTCCGCCGTAAACATAACGACCCAATTAATGTGATGCTCATCCTGTTCAAAAAGTACTATTTTAATCGTAAAACATCCGGAAATATGCCAACATTTCAGTTTATGTTGAAAAGGCGCTTTTACAAATTCTGGTCGGCATGCCACAACCTGTTCAACGACTGATTTATTTTTGTATCGCCATTGCTACATGCTCTGTGTAACCTCTCTACGGAGGTAGCCACCTGACCTGCATGTTGGAACCCTTGTGCAACTGTAAAAATGTTATGAAAAAATAAATAAATATAAAAACAATACTTGGATTCTGTTTGACAATCTACACTGTTTAGATGAAACCAATATCTTTGTTGATAGATGACATACAGGACAACACAATTTTCAGGATAATACACATATCGTCATACTATATTCAATGTTGGCCTCAACCTCACACTGAGTCCGGGGTATGCAGCCATTGTGCAGTCCTTGGCCGGGTGAGACAAATTACATATGACAACAGCAGTGAAACATGACACTCTACTTGAAATCTCTGACTCGATTCCATTATTGTTATGTTTTCACACATTGCTTCATTTCCTTGAAGGTATTGAATGTAGCATAGCACCTTGGTTTCGTGGGCTGTCACAAGCCAGAGATTCCGAAGTAGCCTCGTGAATATTTCCAGGGTATCAACAATTATTGGACTTGTTTAAAAACACCCACGCATGCATGCATGCACGTACACACTACTGCTACCACTGCTGAGGCTGCTACTACTACATACTATCGCCAATGGTTCACTTTGTTCATGCTGAAGAAGTATTACTTGAGTCATCAATAATTATGACTATTTGGAACACTCACTCACTCACTCCCTGCTTACTACTACCACCACCACCACCACTACTCACTCACTCTAAACTATTGAAATGAAAATTCGATACTAATCAGTATTCTAAATATGGTTTGTGTATACTATTTCAGAAAAAACTGGATTGGCGGTCAAAATAACCGATTGGTATGATGGCAACATGTTTCTTGGAACCTTAAATGCTGTATATGGAACAAACTTTGATGTTTTGAAGAATGGAAACTGACAACAAGCTGCCACGAGATGACACTGTTTCTGGATCCTCCACAGATGCTTTTATTACAACCAGGGGAAGACAACAGCCAGGCGAACAACATAGTACAACACTGACACCAGGTGGCGCTGTGGCTGGATCGCCCGCAGGTTCTTCTGTGGTGACTAGGGAAAAAAGAAGCAGGGGAACAACATAGTACAACACTGACACCAGGTGGCGCTGTGGCTGGATCCCCTGCAGGTTCTTCTGTGGTGACCAGGGAAAGAAAGAAGCAGGAAGTAGGACAACACAGTACAACACTGACACCAGGTGGCGCTGTGGCTGGATCCCCTACAGGTTCTTCTTGGTGAGCAGGGAAAGAAAGAAGCAAGTAGGACAACATAGTACAACTCTGACACCAGGTGGCGCTGTGGCTGGATCCCTGCAGGTTCTTCTGTGGTGAGCAGGGAAAGAAAGAAGCAAGTAGGACAACATAGTACAACTCTGATACCAGGTGGCGCTGTGGCTGGATCCCTTGCAGGTGGTTCCGAGGTGACCAGGGAAAGAAAGAAGCAAGTAGGACAACATAGTACAACTCTGACACCAGGTGGCGCTGTGGCTGGATCCCCCTGCAGGTTCTTCTGTGGTGAGCAGGGAAAGAAAGAAGCAAGTAGGACAACATAGTACAACTCTGACACCAGGTGGCGCTGTGGCTGGATCCCCTGCAGGTTCTTCTGTGGTGAGCAGGAAAGAAAGAAGCAAGTAGGACAACATAGTACAACTCTGATACCAGGTGGCGCTGTGGCTGATCCCTTGCAGGTGGTTCCTGAGGTGACCAGGGAAAGAAAGAAGCAAGTAGGACAACATAGTACAACTCTGACACCAGGTGGCGCTGTGGCTGGATCCCCTGCAGGTTCTTCTGTGGTGAGCAGGGAAAGAAAGAAGCAAGTAGGACAACATAGTACAACTCTGACACCAGGTGGCGCTGTGGCTGGATCCCCTGCAGGTTCTTCTGTGGTGAGCAGGGAAAGAAAGAAGCAAGTAGGACAACATAGTACAACTCTGATACCAGGTGGCGCTGTGGCTGGATCCCTTGCAGGTTCTTCTGTGGTGAGCAGGGAAAGAAAGAAGCAAGTAGGACAACATAGTACAACTCTGACACCAGGTGGCGCTGTGGCTGGATCCCCTGCAGGTTCTTCTTTGGTGAGCAGGGAAAGAAAGAAGCAAGTAGGACAACATAGTACAACTCTGACACCACGTGGCGCTGTGGCTGGATCCCGTGCAGGTGGTTCCGAGGTGACCAGGGAAAGAAAGAAGCAAGTAGGACAACATAGTACAACTCTGACACCAGGTGGCGCTGTGGCTGGATCCCCCTGCAGGTTCTTCTGTGGTGAGCAGGGAAAGAAAGAAGCAAGTAGGACACTATAGTACAACACTGACACCAGGTGGCGCTGTGGCTGGACCTACCACAGAAACTGTCACTGCCACAGAGGGAAGTCAGCAGCATGGGGACAACCAACTACAACACTCACACCTGATGGTGCTGTGGCTAGACCTACCACAGAAACTGTCACTGCCACAGAGGGAAGTCAGCAGCAGGGGGACAACCCACTACAACACACTCACACCAGATGGCACTGTTACTAGACCTACCATAGAAACTGTCACTGCCACAGAGGGAAGTCAGCAGCAGGGGGGACAACCCACTACAACACTGACACCAGATGGCACTGTGGCTAGACCTACCACAGGTACTGTCACTGCCACAGAGGGAAGTCAGCAGCAGGGGGGACAACCCACTACAAAACTCACACCAGATGGCACTGTGGCTAGACTACCACCACAGAAACTGTCACTGCCACAGAGGGAAGTCAGCAGCAAGGGGGGACAACCCACTGCAACACTCACACCAGATGGCACTGTTGCTAGACCTACCACAGGTACTGTCACAGCCACAGAGAGGGAAGTCAGCAGCAAGGGGTTCAATCCTTTTCAACAACCACACACAACTACCTACCGGGTGAGTGCAAAACTTGCATTTGTATTTCTTTTTAGGAAAGGGGATGGGGGTCGGGTGCGTCTGTCTGTCTCTCTGTCTGTGATATCAAAGCACCAAATGTTCACCAAGTTTAATCCCTTGGTTGTATAAGAATCCTGTGATCTTTGTTTACACATTGAATATTTACATTGATTATGTATTTTGGATTGCCAGAATCACTTCTGAACTATGCTTTTAGGTATTACCAAAGTCTGAGCCTTGCATCTTTTCCGGACTTTTATCATTGGTGTGGTAAACATGGAAGACTTTGGTTATTTTAGGAATGTATGTCACTCCCTTACACCCTGTCTCACTCACATCAGTGGAGAGGCTGTGCTATTAACAAGTGACAAGTCTGATAGAGAGATGTCTAATTTCAATGGATTATAATGGAGTTCTTTTCCTTTCTTCAACCCAGGTTGTTCAGTTTCACATTATGACATATCCAACTCCTCCAACACTGCAGTCGGAGACAGCGGACATCGAGGCTGTATATCACAAGGTGGGATATATACAGATAACTTCCGGATGTATTTAAGTGACCAAATGCATAAACGACCTGCTCTTTGTTCTGAAGTTGTTCGATCAAGGTTACAACATCAATCTATCTTCAGTAAAGTTTCAAAATGTTTTATGGTAGATATGAAGAGATCATTTCAAATGTCTGTTGCATAAATCAGCTGCTAAAAAAACAACTGTACATAATGACGCGCTGTATTAAATGATCCGCCGTATATAAATGCCCCACTGTACATAAATGACCCGCTGTATATAAATGATTCCTGTATTAAATGACCCCTATACATAAAATGACCCACTGTATTAAATGACCCGTTGTATATACATGATCCGCCGTATATAAATGACCCACTGTACATAAATGACCCGCTGTATATAAATGACCCACTGTACATAAATGACATGCTGTATTAAATGACACGCTGAATATAAATGACTTGTGCATAAATGACCCTCTATATCAATGACCCACTGTGTTAAATGACATGCTGAATAAAAATGACCTGTTGTGCATAAATGACCCACTGTACATAAATGACCCACTGTAAATACATGACATGCTGTATTAAATGACACGCTGTATTAATGACCTGCTGTACATAAATGACCCACTTTACATAAATGACCTGCTGTATTAAATGGCAACTTGAATATAAATGACCTGTTGTGCATAAATGACCCTCGATATAAATGACCCACTGTGTTAAATGACAAGCTGAAAATACATGACCAGCTGTGCGTAAATGACCCTCTATATAAACGACCCACTGTGTTAACAGACAAGCTAAATATAAATGATCAGCTGTACATAAATGACCCTCTATATAAATGACCCACTGTATTAAATGACAAGCTGAAAATACATGACCAGCTGTGCGTAAATGACCCTCTATATAAATGACCCACTGTGTTAACAGACAAGCTAAATATAAATGACCTGTTGTGCATAAATGAGCCACTATACATAAATGACCCACTGTACATAAATGACATGCTGTATTAAATGACACGCTGTAAATGACCTGTTGTACACAAATGACCCACTTTACATAAATGAACTGCTGTATTAAATGACAAGCTGAATATAAATGACCTGTTGTGCATAAATGACCCACTTTACATAAATGACCTGCTGTATTCAATGACAAGCTGAATATAAATGACCTGTTGTGCATAAATGACCCTCTATATAAATGACCCACTGTATTAAATGACGAGCTGAATATACATGACCAGCTGTACATAAATGACCTACTCTATATAAATGACCCACTGTGTTAAATGACAAGCTGAATATAAATGACATATTGTGCATAAATGAGCCACTGTACATAAATGACCTGCTGTATATAAATGACCTGCTGTATCAATTATCTGCTGTATAAAGACCGCCTGTATATGAATGGCCTGTTGTACATAAATAACCCCTGTACATAAATGACCTTCTGTATGTAAATGAGCTGCTGTAGTAAATGACCCACTGTATATACATGACCGGCTGTACAAATGGCTAGTTGTATAAATGACCTGCCTTATGAATGACCCACTTTATAAATGACCAGTTGTATGAATTACCCACTGTATACAAATGACCTGCCATACATAAATGAACCGTCGTATAAATGACCCACTGTATAAATGGTCCACTGTATAAACGACCCGCTGTATACTTGACCTGCTGTATAATTGAACTGGTGCATATGAATGACCAGCTGTATAACTGACCTGCCCTATAAATGACGAACTGTCTAATTGACCTGCCTTATAAATGATCTGCTGTATAACTGACCAGCTGTATAACTGCCCTGCCCTATAAATGACCCACTGTCTAATTGACCTGCCTTATAAATGATCCGCTGTATAACTGACCAGCTGTATAACTGCCCCGCTCTATAAATGACCTACTGTCTAATTGACCTGCCTTATAAATGACCCGCTGTATAACTGACCTGCTGTATAACTGATCTGCCTTATTTTTTATTTTATGTTTGTTCTCATTTTCTCCAGAGAGTCTCAGCATAAGGATCAACCAACTCAGTGACATGTTAGTACAAACCCGTGCTATTCACAAAGCAGAAGATCTTCTGAAGAGGCACAGCCACGTTTCAATCTGTGGAGCCCCTGGAGATGGGAAGACTACTGCTGCTCTCAGGATCTGTGAGACGTATATGAAGAAAAACTATCAAGTATTGTTTGTTGAAAATATTGAAGAGTTTGACATTGATGTCGTCATTAAGCGAAAGTGTGACATGTTGGTGGTGTTTGATGATATCTTTGGCTCTGTTGCATTTCCCAGCAGTTTGGAGAAAATACGTAAAGTGTTCAATGCCTTGGTTGATATTTTATTTCGACTTAAAAGAGGCGCGGAGCTAGCAGCCGATGAAGAAAGAAAGAAGAAAGTGAAGAAAGGTATGAAAAAGGAAGATGAGAAGCAATGTAATGATGAAACGATAAAAACTGCCACTACAAGATTCGCTTCATTTTCACATCCAGGAACTACAACTGGAATGAGGGCTGTGCAAGACTACATCAGTTCAAAGTAAATCTGTTTAAACCTGAAACCATTGTTGATATGATCAAGACATGTTTAACCATTGAAGAAAAGAAACAGATCATGACATTGTTCAGGACCAGAAGCCGAATCATCGATATCTCCGATAAGGACATGAAAACTATTACAGAGTTTAAAGACAGCATGTTTGGATATCCTTTGACCTGTAAACTGTACTTCCACCAACCCAGTGTTCCAGATACATAGTCTTGGGGACTTTTTCCTGAAACCGGTGACATACCTGAGAGGTGACCTTGACACCATTGTCCGTGAAGGCAGCAGCAGATCGGCTGCTCTGATTCTCCTGGTCCTGTGTGGAGGGAAACTGGACCTTGCCTCCTTGATGTGTGGGACAAACAAGAAGGTTACAGATCTGTTTCATGTTGTAAAGGAGAAGGTAGCATCATGCACTGATACAGACATAGAAGAGAGATAAGCAATTTTACCGGCACCTACTGTGTCGTGGAGAATCATGTGGCCTCCTTTTCACATCCAGCCACCCACGACGCTGCAGCATGTGCTTTTAGGAATCTCAACAGTGTTTTATTAGTAAAACACTGTTCCCTTCAGTTTTTGTATGAAAGGGTTAGACCAAGCATGACTGATGCTCGACAGACAACCCAAGCTGATGATGTGACAAACATGATCTCCATCACTTCCCATCTTTACCCACTGATGATCGACAGGCTAGTGGAAGGTATCCGTGAAGATTGCTTCAGATGGACAATAGGCCACCCTGTATTCAGAAAGGATGAATTAGCATCCTCACTGATGACGGAACTGGCAAATGACTTGCTTCATTTAGTCCACCGAAAGGACAGCACCTCTGGTGAAAGTTTTATATACTGGACTTCCCTGTCTAATAATGATTTACTGTTCAGAAAGTCACTATTACTGATGAGGGAAAAGGAAACTCTTTCCCTGAAAATATCAAAGACCTGTATGAGAGTATCACAGGCTGCATAAAGGCTGGCAAGGTGGGGAACCTGCAACGTATTGTTGATGTGCTAAAGCATCATGGAGAATATAATGCAGAAAGAAGGATGGCAGCAGGCAAAACACTGCTCATAATTGCTGCAGAAGCTGGACAGTTGGATGTGTTCAATTTTCTACTGCAAGAAGGAGCAAATGTTTTATTGAAGGATAGGAAAGGAAACTGTTGCCTTCATCATGCGTGTATTTCAGGAAAAGTGATATTGTGAAAGTTGTTGTTGAAAAGTTTCCACATATGATTGATGCTCGGAATAATGAGGGTTTCACATCTACAATGTTGTGTGCTCAGAGACGACAGGGGAGATCCTCAAGTTCCTGGTGTCACATGGTGCTGATCTCTCTGCTAAGATATTGGGAGGTTGGAATTGTTTACATGCGGCGTGTGCAAGTGGTCATTTATCAACCGTCCAATATGTGTTGTCTTGTGAAATTATCAACATTAATCAAAGAACATTATCAAACACAACGCCGATTATGATGGCTACCACAAATGGACACTCTGATGTTTATCATCTTCTCGTGTCAGAGGGAGCTGATGTGTCACTTGCTGATAAGAATGGCAGAGACTGCCTGATGTATGCATGTAAGGCAGGTAACATGTCTATAGTTAGGCACTTACTCTCTTTGAAAACAATCAACATCAACAGGGGAGATCACGACAACATGACACCAGTCATGACGGCAGCTGAAGCCGGACACTCTGATGTTTATCACCTTCTTGTGTCCGAGGGAGCTAATGTGTCACTTACTAATGATAAGGGCAGAGACTGTCTGATGTATGCATGTGAGGGAGGTAACATGTCTATAGTTAGGCACTTACTCTCTTTGAAAACAATCGACATCAACAGGGAGATTGCTTGAACCGGACACCAGTCATGACGGCAGCTGAAGCCGGACACTCAGATGTTTATCACCTTCTTGTGTCAGAGGGAGCTGATGTGTCACTTAGCGATAAGAAAGGCAGAGACTGTCTGATGTATGCATGTGAGAGAGGTAACATGTCTATAGTTAGGCACCTAATATCTTTGAAAACAATCAACATCAACAGGAGAGATCACGCCAACATGACACCAGTCATGACGGCATCTAAAGCCAGATACTCTTATGTTTATGACCTTCTTGTGTCAGAGGGAGCTGATGTGTCACTTACTGATGATATGGGCAAAGACTGTCTGATGCATGCATGTCAGGGAGGTAACATGTCTATAGTTAGGCACCTACTATCTTTGAAAACAATCAACATCAACAGGAGAGTTTGGTTGAACCAGACACCAATCATGACGGCAGCTGAAGCCGGACACTCAGATGTTTATCACCTTCTTGTGTCCGAGGGAGCTGATGTCACTTACTGATGATATGGGCAGAGACTGTCTGATGCATGCATGTCAGGGAGGTAACATGTCTATAGTTAGGCACCTACTATCTTTGAAAACAATCAACATCAACAGGAGAGTTTGGTTGAACAAGACACCAATCATGACGGCAGCTGAAGCCGGACACTCAGATGTTTATCACCTTCTTGTGTCCGAGGGAGCTGATGTGTCACTTACTGATAAGAGGGCAGAGACTGTCTGATGTATGCATGTGAGGGAGGTGACATGTCTACAGTTAGGCACCTACTATCTTTGAAAACAATCAACATCAACAGGAGAGATCACAGAAAACATGACACCAGTCATGAAAGCAGCTGAAGCCGGACGCTCTGATGTTTATCACCTTCTTGTGTCCGAGGGAGCTGATGTGTCACTTACTGATAAGAGGGGCAGAGACTGTCTGATGTATGCATGTGAGGGAGGTGACATGTCTACAGTTAGGCACCTACTATCTTTGAAAACAATCAACATCAACAGGAGAGATCACAACAACATGACACCAGTCATGAAAGCAGCTGAAGCCGGACACTCAGATGTTTATCACCTTCTTGTGTCAGAGGGAGCTGATGTGTCACTTACTGATGATATGGGCAGAGACTGTCTGATGTATGCATTTGAGGGAAGTAACATGTCTATAGTTAGGCACCTCCTATCTTTGAAAATAATCAACATCAACAGGAGAGATCACGCCAACATGACACCACTCATGACGGCAGCTAAAGCCAGACACTCTTATGTTTATCACCTTCTTGTGTCAGAGGGAGCTGATGTGTCACTTACTGATAATATGGGCAGAGACTGTCTGATGTATGCATGTGAGAGAGGTACCATGTCTATAGTTAGGCACCTACTGTCTTTGAAAACAATCAACATTAACAGTAGAGATCACGACAACATGACACCAGTCATGTCGGCAGCTAAAGCCGGAAACTCAGATGTTTATCACCTTCTTGTGTCAGAGGGAGCTGATGTGTCACTTGCTGATGACAAGGGCAGAGACTGTCTGATGTATGCATGTGAAACAGATAGTATGTTTGCATGGACCTCAAGAACCTCAGGTAACATGTCTATAGTTAGGCACCTACTATCTTTGAAAACAATCAACATCGACAGGAGAGATTGTTTTGGAAGCGAACACCAGTCATGACGGCAGCTGAAGCCGGACACTCAGATGTTTATCACCATCTTGTGTCAGAGGAGCTGATGTGTCACTTACTGATGATATGGGCAGAGACTGTCTAATGTATGCATGTGAGAGAGGTAACATGTCTATAGTTAGGCACCTACTATCTTTGAAAACAATCAACATCAACAGGAGAGATCACAACAACATGACACCAGTCATGACGGCAGTTGAAGCCGGACACTCAGATGTTTGTCACCTTCTTGTATCAAAGGGAGCTGATGTGTCACTTACTGATAAGAGGGGCAGAGACTGTCTGATGTATGCATGTGAGAGGTGACCAGGTTAGATGGCGCCTAAGAATCTTAGATACCATGTCTATAATTAGGGACTTACTGTCTTTGAAAACAATCAACATCAACAGGAGAGATCACAACAACATGACACCAGTCATGACGGCAGCTAAAGCCGGAAACTCAGATGTTTATCACTTTCTTGTGTCAGAGGGGCTGATGTGTCACTTACTGATGACAAGGGCAAAGACTGTCTGATGTATGCATGTGAGGGAGGTAAAATGTCTATAGTTAGGGCACCTACTATCTTTGAAAACAATCAACATTAACAGGAGAGATCACAACAACATGACAGTAGTCATGACGGCAGCTGAAGCCGGACACTCAGATGTTTATCACTTTCTTGTATCAGAGGGAGCTGACGTGTCACTTACTGATGATATGGGCAGAAGACTGTCTAATGTATGCATGTTGAGAGAGGTAACATGTCTATAGTTAGGCACCTACTATCTTTGAAAACAATCAACATCAACAGGAGAGATTGGTTGAATCAAACACCAGTCATGACGGCAGCTAATGCTAGGCACCAAGATGTTTATCACCTTCTTGTGTCCGAGGGGAGCTGATGTGTCACTTACTGATGATATGGGCAGAGACTGTCTAATGTATGCATGTGAGAGAGGTAACATGTCTATAGTTAGAGGCACCTACTCTCTTTGAAAACAATCAACATTAACAGGAGAGATCACAACAACATGACAGTAGTCATGACGGCAGCTAAAGCCGGAAACTCAGATGTTTATCACTTTCTTGTGTCAGAGGAGCTGATGTGTCACTTACTGATGACAAGGGCAAAGACTGTCTGATGTATGCATGTGAGGGAGGTAAAATGTCTATAGTTAGGCACCTACTATCTTTGAAAACAATCAACATTAACAGGAGAGATCACAACAACATGACAGTAGTCATGACGGCAGCTGAAGCCGGACACTCAGATGTTTATCACTTTCTTGTATCAGAGGGAGCTGATGTGTCACTTTACTGATGATATGGGCAGAGACTGTCTAATGTATGCATGTGAGAGAGGTAACATGTCTATAGTTAGGCACCTACTATCTTTGAAAACAATCAACATCAACAGGAGAGATTGGTTGAATCAAACACCAGTCATGACGGCAACTAATGCTAGGCACCAAGATGTTTATCACCTTCTTGTGTCGAGGGAGCTGATGTGTCACTTACTGATGATATGGGCAGAGACTGTCTAATGTATGCATGTGAGAGAGGTAACATGTCTATAGTTAGGCACCTCCTATCTTTGAAAACAATCAACATCAACAGGAGAGATCACAACAACATGACAGTAGTCATGACGGCAGCTGAAGCCGGACACTCAGATGTTTATCACTTTCTTGTATCAGAGGGAGCTGATGTGTCACTTACTGATGATATGGGCAGAGACTGTCTAATGTATGCATGTGAGAGAGGTAACATGTCTATAGTTAGGCACCTACTATCTTTGAAAACAATCAACATCAACAGGAGAGATTGGTTGAATCAAACACCAGTCATGACGGCAACTAATGCTAGGCACCAAGATGTTTATCACTTTCTTGTGTCAGAGGGAGCTGATGTGTCACTTACTGATGATATGGGCAGAGACTGTCTAATGTATGCATGTGAGAGAGAGGTAACATGTCTATAGTTAGGCACCTACTATCTTTGAAAACAATCAACATCAACAGGAGAGATTGGTTGAATCAAACACCAGTCATGACGGCAACTAATGCTAGGCACCAAGATGTTTATCACCTTCTTGTGTCCGAGGGAGCTGATGTGTCACTTACTGATCACATGGGCAGAGACTGTCTGATGTATGCATGTAAGAGACATTTCATGTCTATGGTTAGGCACTTACTCTCTTTGAAAACAATCAACATTAACAGGAGAGATCCACAACAACATGACACCAGTCATGTCGGCAGCTAAAGCCGGAAACTCGGATGTTTATCACCTTCTTGTGTCAGAGGGAGCTGATGTGTCACTTGCTGATGACAAGGGCAGAGACTGTCTGATGTATGCATGTGAGCGAGGTAACATGTCTATAGTTAGGCACCTACTATCTTTGAAAACAATCAACATCAACAGGAGAGATCACGACGACATGACACCAGTCCTGACGGCAGCTGAAGCCGGACACTCAGATGTTTATCACCTGCTTGTGTCAGAAGGAGCTGATGTGTCACCTACTGATGATATGGGCAAAAGGCTGTCTGAGGTATGCATGTGAGGGAGGTAACATGTCTATAGTTAGGCACTTACTCTCTTTGAAAACAATCAACATCGACAGGAGAGATTACAACAACATGACAGTAGTCATAACGGCAGCTAAAGCCGGAAACTCAGATGTTTATCACCTTCTTGTGTCAGAGGGAGCTGATGTGTCACTTGCTGATGACAAGGGCGGAGACTGTCTAATGTATGCATGTGAGAGAGGTAACATGTCTATAGTTAGGCACCAACTATCTTTCAAAACAATCAACATCAACAGGAGATTGCTTGAACCGAACACCAGTCATGACGGCAGCTAAAGCCGGACTCTAAGATGTTTATCACCTTCTTGTTTCAGAGGGAGCTGATGTGTCACTTACTGATGATATGGGCAGAGACTGTCTGATGTATGCATGTGAGAGAGGTGACAAGTTTATATGGCTCCTAAGATGCTCCAGATACCATGTCTATAGTTAGGCACCTACTGTCTTTGAAAACAATCAACATCAACAGGAGAGATCACAATAACATGACACCAGTCATGGTAGCAGTTAAAACCGGAAACTCTGATGTTTATCACCTTCTTGAGTCAGAGAGAGCTGATTTGTCACTTACTGATGATATGGGCAAAGACTGTCTGATGTATGCATGTGAGCGAGGTAACATGTCTATAGTTAGGCACTTACTATCTTTGAATACAATCAACATCAACAGGAGAGATCACAACAACATGACACCAGTCATGACGGCAGTTAAAGCCAGACACTCAGATGTTTGTCACCTTCTTGTGTCAAAGGGAGCTGATGTGTCACTTATTGATAAGGAGGGCAGAGGCTGTCTGATGTATGCATGTGAGGGAGAGGTGACATGTCTATAGTTAGGCACTTACTCTCTTTGAATACAATCAACATCAACAGGAGAGATCACAACAACATGACACCAGTCATGACGGCAGTTAAAGCCAGACACTCAGATGTTTGTCACCTTCTTGTGTCAAAGGGAGCTGATATGTCACTTATTGATAAGGAGGGCAGAGGCTGTCTGATGTATGCATGTGAGGGAGGTGACATGTCTATAGTTAGGCACCTACTATCTTTGAAAACAATCAACATCAACAGGAGTGATCACGACAACATGACAGTAGTCATGACGGCAGCTGAAGCCGGAAACTCAGATGTTTATCACCTTCTTGTGACAGAGGGAGCTGATGTGTCACTTGTTGATGACAAGGGGCAGAGACTTGTCTGATGTATGCATGTGAAACAGATAATACGGTTGCATGGACCCCAAGAACCTCAGGTAAAATGTCTATAGTTTAGGCACCTACTATCTTTGAAAACAATCAACATCAACAGGAGAGATCACGACAACATGACACCAGTCATGACGGCAGCTAAAGCCGGACTCTCAGATGTTTATCACCTTCTTGTGACAGAGGGCTGATGTGTCACTTGTTGATGATAAGGGCAGAGACTGTCTGATGTATGCATGCGGAAACAGATAATACGGCCTTGCATGGACCTCCAAGAACCTCAGGTAAAGAGTGTCTATAGTTAGGCACCTACTATCTTTGAAAACAATCAACATCAACAGGAGAGATTGCAATAACCGAACACCAGTCATGACGGCAGCTAAAGCCGGACTCTCTGATGTTTATCACCTTCTTGTGTCAGAGGGAGCTGATGTGTCACTTACTGATGATATGGGCAGAGACTGTCTGATGTATGCATGTGAGAGAGGTGACAAGTTTATATGGCTCCTAAGATGCCTCAGATACCATGTCTATAGTTAGGCACCTACTATCTTTGAAAACAATCAACATCAACAGGAGAGATCACAACAACATGACACCAGTCATGATGGCAGTTCAAGCCGGAAACTCAGATGATTATCACCTTCTTGTGTCAGAGAGAGCTGATTTGTCACTTACTGATGATATGGGCAAAGACTGTCTGATGTATGCATGTGAGAGAGGTAACATGTCTATAGTTAGGCACCTACTCTCTTCAAAAACAATAAACATCAACAGGAGATCACACGACAACATGACACCAGTCATGATGGCCAGCTAAAGCCAGACACTCAGATGTTTGTCACCTTCTTGTGTCAGAGGAGCTGATGTGTCACTTATTGATAAGAAGGGCAGAGACTGTCTGATGTATGCATGTGAGGGAGGTGACATGTCTATAGTTAGGCACCTACTATCTTTGAGAACAATCAACATCAACAGGAGAGATCCACAACAACATGACACCAGTCATGACGGCAGTTAAAGCTGGACACTCAGATGTTTGTCACCTTCTTGTGTCAGAGAGGAGCTGATGTTTCACTTATTGATAAGAAGGGCAGAGACTGTCTGATGTATGCATGTGAGGGAGGTGTCATGTCTATAGTTAGGCACCTACTATCTTTGAAAACAATCAACATCAACAGGAGAGATCACGACAACATGACACCAGTCATGATAGCAGCTAAAGCCGAACACTCAGATGTTTATCACCATTCTGTGTCAGAGGGAGCTGATGTGTCACTTATTGATAAGAAGTTCAGAGACTGTCTGATGTATGCATATGAGGGAGGTGACATGTTTATAGTTAGGCACTTACTCTCTTTGAAAACAATCAACATCAACAGGAGAGATCACAACAACATGACACCAGTCCTGACGGCAGTTCAAGCCAGACACTCAGATGTTTATCACCTTCTTGTGTCAGAGGGAGCTGATGTGTCACAGATAACAAAGGGCCAGAGACTATCTGATGTATGCATGTCAGAGGTAACATGTCTATATTTAGAGGCACCTACTGTCTTTAAACAAAATCAACATTAACGGGAGAAAATGCGACGACAGTACACCAGTCATGATGGCAGCTTAGTAATAGCCGGACACTCTGATGTTTTTCACCATCTTGTGCCAGAGGGAGCTGATCTGTCACTTACTGATAACAATGGCAGAGACTGTCTGATGTATGCATGTGAGGGAGGTACATGTCTATAGTTAAAGGCACCTCATGTCTTTGAAGAAGAAGATCAACATCAACAGAAGAGGTTAGGACGACATGACAGCAGCCACTATAGCAGCTAAAGCCGGACACTCTAATGTTTGTCAACTTCTTGCGTCAGAGGGAGTTGATGTGTCACTTACCAATGACTTGGGCAGGGACTGTCTGATGATGATGATGATGCATGTGAGGGAGGTGCCCTGTCTATAGTTAGGCACCTACTGTCTTTGAAAACAATCCCACATCAACAGGGGTGATTGCTTTAACCAAACACCAGTCATAATGGTAGTTATAGCCGGACATTTTGATGTTTATCACCTTCTCGTGTCAAGAGGGCTGGTGTTTCACTTACTGATGACAGGGACTGAGACCGTCTGATGTATGCATGTGAAACAGATAACATGTTTGCATGGACCTCAAAAGAACCTCAGGTAAAATGTGTATAGTTAGGCACTTACTCTCTTTGAAAACAATCAACATCAACAGGAGAGATCACGACAACATGACACCAGTCATGACGGCAGCTAAACCAGACACTCAGATGTTTCACTTCTTGTGTCAGAGGGAGCTGATTTGTCACTTTCTTTATGAGAAGGGCAGAGACTGTACAATGTATGCATGTGAGAGAGGTAACATGTCTATAGTTTGAAGGCACCTACTATCTTTGAAAACAATCAACATCAACAGGAGAGATTGCTTGAACCGAACACCAGTCATGGTGACAGTTCAAGCTGGACACCCTGATGTTTATCACCTCTTTCTCAACATCAACAGATGGAGCTGATATGTCACTTACTGATGACTGTAGAGTAATGTAATGTAAGAGATGTAATGGAATGGAAGCTTGGTCTTCACATAAAATAATCTCAAAGGAATCAAGAATGAACAGTAAGCTTGAAATTATGAATGCATAGTGTCTCATATTAAAAACAACAAATCTTATATATTTTTTATTAACTTGTATTCAATCTTTTTTGTGCACAGTGAGCAAGAGTTCAGAAATTGAGGTCACTATTCAACTGTATTCTCTTTTTCAGAAATGCCCAGACTAGGAAATACTCAAGACATGATTTTCAGTTTTCATATTTGTGTGATATGCTTTTGTGGCGACTGACCATACATTTGATAATGTAACCATTTGTGTCCACAGAGCTTACACAATGATGTGGACAATTCCAGTAATTCTCCAATGAACCAATCATAATATGAATGGCCCTACTTACAAGCAATTTGTGTAAGTCCTTCATGTATATGAAAAGTGAGTGAGGTGAGAATGATTCATTATTGCTTAACCTCACTGCAGCAAATTTGCTCCAAGATATTTTAAGTGTTATGTCACTTTAGAGATTGCTGTGGGTTTATTAGAAGTGATTGTTTGAGGCAGGAAAAGACTGAAATGGTCGTAACATGCAGTAGTGGCCAATATCCACCAGAGGTGTGTTTTGGAGTTACCTCCCTAATATACAAGACTTGATCATTTGAGACGTTTTGTGAGCGGGTTAGGCAGCTGAGATTTGTGTGCTAGCCATGGGATGCCTGACTCTGAGGGGCGTGAGTTTGAATCCTAGATGTGGCTCCAACCCAGCAATAGTACTAGAATCTGTACTTTACTGAAAAAGTATAATCCCAAGTATAACATATGTTACATTTGAAAACTTTCTAAATGTCATCGTGTATTCATAGTAGTGTGTGTGCCTCAGTAGAGACATCTGATAGTGAGTTTCAGGAGTGCGAAGGTATCATCGCACCTGTTAGATATTGAGTGCGTTCACTAATTTGAACCATTTGTATTGCCTTATCTGCTTCTATATATTATTTTCATTTTCCTTGATCATATTTCAGTTCGGTTTTAGTTACGTGATTTCAGAGTTAACACACGGTAATAAAACAATACAGAACCCAACATGTGAATTTTTACAGTAAATGTTGTGGTCCATACTTTTTGTACAGATTGTGTTTTCCCTATTTCTACTTGTATCAAGTTTGCGTTTTTGCATGTGTCTGTGTCCTTGGAAAGAACACCTGTTGTGCTAACTTTTCTTTTTGAGTTTTATTCGTAAACTCTGTTATATTGTCAGATGTACAGTGTTAACTTTAAGCATTTAGTTCTCATGTTTATGGGAAGGTTTTCATGAATATTATTATTGATTATGTTATGGAATGTAACAGTATTTTAGATCATTCTAACCAACATGGAAATAGTTCTGACAAGCATCAGCATAGCACAGACAGACCAACACGGAAAAGGTACTCACAAACAATGTCAGAGTACTGACGAACATGGTTACAGTACTGACGAACATGGTAACAGCACTGACGAAGACATGGTTACAGTACTGACGAACATGGCCACAGTACTGACGAACATGGTTTACAGTACTGACGAACATGGTTTACAGTACTGACGAACATGGTTACAGTACTGACGAACATGGTAACAGTACTGACGGACATGGTAACAGTACTGACGAACATGGTTTACAGTACTGACGAACACGGGCACAGTACTGACGAACATGGTAACAGCACTGACGAACATGGTTACAGTACTGACGAACATGGCCACAGTACTGACGAACATGGCCACAGTACTGATGAACATGGAAACAGCACTGACGAACATGGAAACAGTACTGACGAACATGGAAACAGTACTGACGAACATGGTTACAGTACTGACGAACATGGAAACATTACTGACGAACATGGTTACAGTACTGACGAACATGGTTACGGTACTGACGAACATGGTTACAGTACTGACGAACATGAAATAACAGTACTGACGAACACGGTTACAGTACTGACGAACATGGTTACAGTACTGACGAACATGGATTTACAGTACTGACGAACATGGTTACGAAAGTACTGACAACATGAAAACAGTACTGACGAACATGGAACAATTACTGACGAAGATGGTTTTAGTACTGACGAACAGACGTAAAGCAGTACTGACGAACATGGTTACAGTACTGACGAACATGGTCACGCAGTACTGACGAAAATGGTAACAAGTACCCCGACGAACATGGATTTACAGTACTGACGAAGATGGTGTGACAGTACTGACGGAACGTGGTAAGAGTACTGACGAACGTGGTAACAGTACTGATGAATATGGTTACAGTTCTGACGAACCTGGTTACATGGACAGATTCTGTGTTTACATTTTGTATTTTCCATGTGTTATGCATATCCTGTATATAGTGTTGTAATGAGGATAATGTACATGTCTTCATGTGAGCACGACACGGCGAACCAATATGGGCCGGGTACTGACAAACATGTCCACCATTGTACATGAGCATGGACAGGTTCCTTTGTTTACTTTTGTATTTTCCATATGTGATGCATATCATGTACATAATGTTATAATGAGATAATGTAGTCAGATGAAGCACGGCCATGGTACTGACAATCGTAAACACAGTACTTACCAACATAAGGCATACTATGGCACATACTATGTTCATAAGGACAGTGCTGACTGACATGACAGAACATGGGCAGATAATGATGTTCATATGGACGAGTGCTGACCGACATGGGAACATGGGCAGATACTATGTTCATAAGGACAGTGCTGACTGACATAGAACATGGGCAGATACTATGTTCATAAGGACAGTGCTGACTGACATGGGAACAATGGGCAGATATTGATGTTCATAAGGACAGTGCTCACCGACATGGGAACAGGGGCAGATACTATGTTCATAAGGACATTGCTGACTGACATGGGAACATGGGCAGATATTGATGTTCATAAGGACAGTGCTGACTGACATGGGAACATGGACAGATATTGATGTTCATAAGGACAGTGCTGACTGACGTGGGAACATGGGCAGATACTGATGTTCATAAGGACAGTGCTGACTGACATGGGAACATGGGCAGATATTGATGTTCATAAGGACAGTGCTGACTGACATGGGAACAGGGGCACATACTGATTTTCATAAGGACAGTGCTGACTGACATGGGAACATGGGCAGATACTGATGTTCATAAGGACAGTGCTGACCTGACATGGGAACATGGACAGATGTAGAATACTAAACGAGTGTCTGTCAGATATCATTTGTCTTACAACGAGTTGTTTCAAAACGTATTTAACGAGCGAAAGCCTGACTGTCTGACACGAGGCACGAGGTTCAGTAATCTGTTTTTTACGCACCATAAAATCGCACCATTTTATGGTCGAATAGATTCAAATTTCCTATTTTCTCCTCGTAGCTGTGCAATAATACCATACAACGTTTATGAATGAGTGACGTCACTTTGCGTCCCAATCACTGCTCATCCCGTCCAAGGTAACCCTCCACAAAAAGTTTCTGCCACATCTTCGCGTCATCAAGGCAGTAGTGATAATGCAAAGTAGATAAGATCAAAGAAAATTAATTAAACATTCTAAAACGATGATGTTACCATGAAAATGTGTGCAATTTAAATTCTTGCAAGCAAAAATATTTGAGCGTGTGACGTCATCGTCATCGTTTTGTGGTTGTCGTCATCGGAAGATTGATTTGGAAATGTCTGCCCATTGTCATTGGGGATCTGTACTTTGTGTACCAGTTTACGTTCAATGTTCTCCCATCGAATCAGACCAAAACTATTGAGTGTGTGTCATTAGAGTGTAACTCACTGTGCTTGAATATGACATTGCTGATGTTACGTTCACTGTTGAAATGGGGACTACTCTTCTTCGCCACATCCTTCTCGTTTTCCCGAGCCAGAAACTGCCACTTGGTATGTAACGGAATTTACGGAGTTGTCAGTATGAAATATATATTGATTACATCCTGTATGTTATGAAGACATGAACTTTGCATTATCATGCGTCGGAGGAATATCTTAAGCAATGACTTATGTGTAAATAAACCGTTCCTGTACATGTTGGATTGAATAGAAAGGATGTGTGCCACCATTTGCACTCATGAACCCTTGCAAAATGTTGTACATTGTTTCAACGAGTGTGTTTTGGTTCTGATTGTCATGAGTGAATATGATAACATTAGAATCACATGGTAGCTCGGGCTGGAAGTGGGTTTTCATCGTGTTTATCAATGAAATATGTCATCTTTATCGATTGATCAAAGAAACAGAGGCAAATCGATCTCAAAATGGACAGGCACTGACGTTATCGTGTCAGGTAATTTTGCAAGAGGATGCATGACTTGTCGCATCTCCCCAGTAAAAGTACCAATGTTGTACATTTTGAATATTCTGTTCTAGAGTAACAATGTGAACTATGTTTTATACAATTTTATACATTTTTTATACTGTTTCAAATAAATACAATTCATACATTTCATATATATGTGTATTAAATGTTATTTTATAAAAGTCACTTGTTACATGGATATCTGGCAAAGGTAAACACACCCCATAAACATAAATTATATCCATCACTTCTCTCGGTGTGTCAAAACTACTACGGCGTAAAGCAGCTTGTTAACGTATCCTCTGGCCATCACTTCCATGTCAGTATCCCATTATCTTCCGAAAGCCAAGCTAGTGAGATCACTGCTCACTTCATTGTTGTTGTTTTCTAAATTACCTTTGCCAGTCTCTGTGACGATGCACATGCCTACGGCGTAAATATGCCATACTACTGTATTGTTTCAATTTTGCTGATACCTAAAGGTCATTGTGAAACATTGCCGCGGGTCTTACCCCAACAGGTTTGACTGCATGTTCCTTGCATATAAATACTGCGGTAGCATCCGCATAGGTTCACTCTTGAACTGCAGTCAGACTTGTTGGTCATAATTTGTTATTGTTTAGGTAAGACCCTGCATTATATTTTTCATGTATTACTTGACTTGCTATTTAATGAGTATCAAAGGTAGTTCTGTTTATGCAATTTAATATACCTCTGGTATAAATGTAATCTATAACCATGTTGTCAATTTCTCAAATATGTGTTTGATTATGACCGACCGAGTTTGTTTTTATGCCGCTTTTAGCAATATTCCAACAACATCGCGGCGGGGGACACCAGAAATGGGCTTCACACATTGTACCAATGTGGGGAATCGAACAGGTCTTCGGCGTGACGAGCCAACGCTTTACCCCTTGGCTACCCCGTTTGATTATGAATATATACTAACGTCATTATTCTTGTCTTTACAATAAACACTCTTGAACCACAGTCAGACTTGTTGGTCATATTTTGTTATTGTTTACATTTAGATAACTTGTGAGATACAGGGGAAACGGCCCGATCTCAATTCGACTGAGGAATCACGGTCTTTATCTTTAGCGGCGATTTTCACATAATTGTTTTAATACACGGGTTTCACTGATTGTTCGAGAGATTTTGACTTCATGACTAGAAATCAAAAGTTTTAATAAAAGGAATTAGAAAAAAATAGATTTGTGTTATATTTCTTACACAAATGTTCAAATTTCATTAGGTATAAAGGGGTTTTGGCACGAGTAACAGGTTTCTGTTCGATTGAAGCATGAGTAACTTATCAATGAATTATAATCAGGAAAGTAGTCCGTCATAACCTGACCCTAAGTCATCACCATGGAGTAGCCAATCACGACTGACATGGGAACATGGGCGAATACTGATGTTCATAAAAGGACAGTGCTGACCGACATGGGCATGGTATGGATCAGTGATTGAGTATTGATCTATGCATCTGTGATATGTAAAAGTCAGGCATGATACTGACAATCGTGAGCCTGGCACGAACCAACATGAGCATGGTAGCTATGAACATGGACAGATACTGACGTTCTTAAGGTCAGTGCTGACCGATACAGTGTTGATGAATACAATTTGGGTGTTTGGGTGTTAACTTTATGTATTTTACATATATTTATGCTATATATAATGTTGTAAGCAGATAATGTATTCAGATGAAGCACGGCCATGGTACTGACAATCGTGAGCACAGCACGAACTAACATGACCATGGTACCTATGAACATGGACAGATACTAATGTTCATAAGGAGAGTGCTGACCGATACAGACATGGCATGGATCCAGCGATTGAGTATTGATCTAGA